CAGCTAATCTTAAATTTAAATTGTACAGAGGAACTGCTGGAGCTCTGACTTGGACCGAGGGCGGTTAAGAAGAAACTGAGGTGGGAGGCAGAGGGGGTCTGATAAGAAAGAAGAGGTTACTCACCTTCGGTGCAGTAACGATGGTTCTTCGAGGTGTGTCCCCATGGGTGCTCCACGACCCGCCCTCCTCTCCGCTACGGAATCTTTTTTTATTATCTTTTTCAGATGGCGGTGAGAGGAACTGGCGGGGACCGGGTCGCGCGCGGCTGATCAAAGGCGCGAACGCTACTCGCGCATGCGCGACCCGGTCGATTACAGCTATGGCAAGCTCCGATTCGCGGCGCCGGGACCAGCCCGACACCAGACGTGGAGCACCCACGGGGACACACCTCGAAGAACCATCGTTACTGCACCGAAGGTGAGTAACCTCTTCTTTCTTATCAGACCCCCTCTGCCTCCCACCTCAGTTTCTTCTTAACCGCCCTCGGTCCAAGTCAGAGCTCCAGCAGTTCCTCTGTACAATTTAAATTTAAGATTAGCTGCATAGTGTAGTAGATAGGAAACAAATTCTAACTATTCAATCTCCTTTTCCTTTTCTCCCCATTTCCTTTTCTTTAACCTGTCAGGGATAATTTCACTTGTGAAAGTCCAGCTTTCCAGGCTTTAAACATTGCCTCTCCTGTCAAGAGGCAATTCCAGTCTGGGATGGACATTTCTACTGTGTTCACTGCTTGGGGGAAAGGCACATACCTCAGAAGTGCTTCCTTTGCCATAACTTTAAGGCTTGTGCCAGACAAGCGAGGGGCCTTGAATTCATCCTCATGGAGAAATCCCTGTGCCTGACCTATGACTTGGGACCACAAACTTCTCATATACTTTGGATTCTGTTAGATTTCCCTCACTGACTCTGGATGGGAAGGACCTAGAAAAATGATGGAGAGCTCTGTGTTCTCTGATATTCTCCAAAACATCAGTACCACCCATGCCATGGCTAAGTACCTACTAGTCAGCTGGATCTTCCAGTATCGCTAAAGATCCCAAGCAGACAGACTCTCAATGTTTGTCTTCACTATGCAGTGGATCAGTGCTGCAACAATCCATCGACCATAGGTCAATTTATCGCATCTGCTTAGATATGATAAATCGATTTCCAAGCACTTTCCTGTTGACTCTGGTACTCCATCAGGATGAGAAGAGTAGCTGAAGTTGATGGGAGAGCAGCTCTTGCTGGCTTTATTGCACAGAAAATAATGCAGTAATTACATTGACTACAGTTACGCTGTTTGCGTAACTGCAGTTGTGTAGGTTAGGTTGATGGGGAGGAGGGTGTTAGTGTAGAAGAGATCTCAGAAGGGCAGCAGAGAGATGACTACCCCTTCTACTGTGACATGGATTGCAACAGCTAAACACTCAGTGCCTCAGCTTATGACGCCATCTCCTGGCCCTCTGGTGCATAGCACAAAGACAGCGCTACCAAAGTCTACTTTATCTCTTTTGATACAAAAACTATCAGCACAGATTCTCCTGACGCTGCAATTCCTCCTTGTACCACAATAATTCCTGGTACTCAAAAAATTACAAATTCCATCTATGGTGCTGAGAATTTTTCCAACATTTTTCCTTCTTTCCAGATGAGACCATTTTGCCACCTATAATAGGAGACAATTTTAAGCAATTTCATGAGCTGTTTAAAAATTGCAGACATGCTCCAAATCCCCCTGGAAGAGGTTTCCGTGTCCCAACAAATGTTGGTTGGCAAATTACACACCAGCCTACTGAAAAATATTCTTTCC